TGTGTGTGTGTGTGTGTGTGTGGAGGGCCACTGGACGGGGGCCCGCTCGGGTTCTGGCCATCTCTTCTCCCATTTTAGTGGAATTGAGGGTGGTGGGACACGCAGGCGCAGTGGGTCCCGGTCGCGGGAGGTGGCATTTCGGAGAGGCCCCTGGGCTTCAGTGCGCAGGCGCAGACCGGGCGAGGCCTCCCTCCTGGTGGCTGGCTGCTGCGGCTGCGCTGTCCCCTGGCCCCGCCAACGGCCCCCTGGATCACTGGTTACATCAGCCATCCAGGAGCAGGGTTACGGGGCGATTGGGGACCAGGCAGAGTCGGTAACTCTGAATGGGTAATGAGGCTGAGGGGGTCCCCTGCCAGGGGCTAGGGGACGAGGCTGCCCGAAATGATGGTCTTTTGCTATTGGGGAGGTGATGTGCTGAGGTGGAATTTCCACATCTGGGCGCCTTGAGTTTCTGTCTTTGCCTCTGGGATGGGTTATGGGGCACAAGATGCTGGAGCATCGGTCATTTGGAAGCATACACCTCTCTGCCCTATGGAGGGAGTGAGGGGCTTGTGATGGTCCTTTAGAACAATGACAACTATTGTTGACTGCAGTCTTTATTTTGCTGGCATTTGGAGGCAGTGTATTTACTGCCTCTTGATGCCTGCTCCTCTTTTCCTCGAAGGTGAGAGTGTGAGCATCTTGTTATACGTGCCATGGCCAGACTTGACACCGTATCTTGGTGTGGGTGCTAGGATGCCAGGCCCTTTGAACTGAATGGTGTGAAGGGGAGAACTACACAGATTAAAATGACTTGTTTCTGGATTCTTTCCTTTATAGGGGACAGAGCACAGGAAAGGGACCCCCACAGTCACCGGTGAGTGCCTCCCCCTAAGATACCAACCAATCAAACTCACTGCCACTGAGTCGGTGCCGACTCAGGGACCCTCTAAGACTGCCCCTTGGGTTTCTGAAACTTATCTGCTAACCGGAGTAGAAAGCTTTGGCCTCCTCTCCCCTTCCCCCCTCCAAGACCTGAAAGCCTTATCACTGGCTGTGTGTTAGGGTAGCACATGGGCTGAGAGCAACAGAAGATCCTGTAGGCACAAGGCAAGGGTGAGTGGAGGCTAGGCATTTAAAAGGAAAATCAGGTGTTGACAGGCCATTTCTTATTTCTCTGCCCTGTCACAAACAGGTTTTTGAAGGTGTCTACAACAATTCCAGAATGTTGCATTTCCTTACAGCAGTTGTGGTAAGTGGGTAGCTAAGCCCCTGCCTGTGTGAGAACGTCTTGCCCTAGTTTGCTGTAGCCGTGCTGCTCTTCTTAATATCGTGCAGGGCTCTACTTGTGATGTCAAGGTGAAAAACGGCACCACCTATGAAGGCATCTTCAAGACGCTGAGCTCCAAGGTCAGTCTGCGCAAATGGGCTTCTTTGGAGAGTTGCATGGAGGGATGAGAATGAGGTAGACTTATTGAGGGGATGAATTGATGGCACTGGACAGCTTCCCATTTCTGTGGACTGTGGCAGGGTAACACCACGAGCAGCAGAAGACATGATCTAGACAAATGTGGGTGATTTTAGTACTAAATGCATACGTTTCTAACATGTAAATGTGAGGGTTTCATGAAGTGGCGTGGCTAGTGTTGAGAAAGCGGCATATGTGAGAGTATTGAGGCAAGTGAGGAAAAGATCTTATTTTTGCTTCCGCTTATCTCCACACTGACCCGTGGGCCTTGGGGACTGGGGCTCTTGTAGTTTGAACTAGCAGTCGATGCCGTGCACCGGAAAGCATCTGAGCCAGCAGGTGGCCCTCGGCGGGAAGACATCGTGGACACCATGGTGTTTAAGCCAAGTGATGTCATGCTAGTCCATTTTCGAAATGTTGACTTCAATTATGCTACTAAAGGTATTGTTCTGGACTGTGACCCCCCATTCTGTGTTCCGGGGCTAGTGTGTGGGAGAGGGAATGGCCTTCAGCTTTGTGCTTTCGTCACTGCTTTTTTTTGTTTCTGAGGGAGATGGCTAGTGTTGGGTTTTTCTTCTTGAAGGTGTGTCTTGATTTCTAAGACAGAATGAGGTGAGTTCTGAGCTATGTTGTGGTTCTTCCCATCTTCCCTTCTTAGTCTTCAGCAGCTCCTTGTTCATTTTGAACTATTAAGATGAGTTCTTTCACGATGCCTCCCCCAACCCCAGCACACAGCCCAAAAGAGAGTTTAGAGCTGGGTTTTCTTAAGCTTTTTCCCTTTGCTCCTGAGCTACTTGAAGTAGTGGGAGGATCTGAAGGGTCACATGCTCTCCTGATTGTCGGACCTGCCCTACAGACAAATTCACTGACTCTGCCATCGCCATGAGCTCCAAGGTGAACGGAGAGCATAAAGAGAAGGTGCTGCAGCGCTGGGAGGGGGGCGACAGCAACAGCGATGACTACGACCTGGAGTCTGACATGGTACAGTTGGGTGACTGTGTGTCGTCGTCATCCCTCCCGTTACCCAGGGCGTGGGGACCCTGCTGCCAGAGTGTGGATTGTGGGCAATGGGGTCCTTCTCTGGGAAGGGAGAGGAAAACCCTCTATGTTGCCTGTTTGAGTGTGACAGGAAGCTCTCCAAAGGACGTGTTCCCACTGTGTGGTCACAGATATTAATATTTGTTTTAAATCACCTTTTCAAACAAGTTGGTGAGGGTGAGTGCCTCTGTCCATTGTAAAAGCCGCTATTTTGATGAGCTTGGTATTTCTCTGGCTGAAGTTTCATACTTCAACATCTCGTATGTGCACACTTTTGAGAGTGCCTTTGTAACATTTAAGTTGCACATAATTTATTTCTCATTACCCGTCTTTGAAGTTTTTACCCTGATGGGTAAATCTCATTAGTGTATGGCTTTTTGAGGCCATGTGGCGCTCTTGTTCACGTATGTGCAAGCTAATGGCGACACAGTCGGTGGTCCTGCCCCTGACCACTGCAGTAAAGCAGCAGGTCACATGGACCCTTTCCCTGTGTGTGTCAGAGTTAGGTGTGCATCACACTGTAGTGTTTGAGCATGCAGCCCCATTACAAGAGCATCTGGAATACCGTGAGAATTGCTAACATGTTTCCAGAGCACGTGCTGTTGGGAAACTGGCACCAGTACATGGGCTGGCTCCACAGGGTCGCCACGGTCTCCGTTCGCCTTAAACAGTGCAGTGAAATGAAGCCTGCCTGTCCATATGTGTGCACACCGAGCTTGACCCTGGCTGATCAGGAGTTGCGGTCATTCCTGTGTTGTTAAGCATGCAGTGTTGAACTTGCAGTGTCCTTCTGGCCACGTGGACCAGAACTCTTGGAGTAAAAAGCTAGAAATGAATTTCTGTCTGAGGACTTTACTAGTTTTTCTAGTTGTTGCCATTCCACGCATCCTTTGGTGGCGGTGATGCCGAGTCACGTCAGCGTATTTCTTTCTCTACTCGGGTTGCACCTTGTAAAATGTTCCAGTTGAGAGTAGAAAGATACGACTCGTTCCTGTTGCTTTCCTACCCGGGTTTTAACCCACCAATCCCCTTTCTCCTGATCAGTCCAATGGATGGGACCCCAATGAGATGTTCAAGTTCAATGAAGAAAACTATGGTGTAAAGACCACCTATGATAGCAGTCTCTCCTCCTACACGTGAGTATCTCTGGACTTCCCAGGCAATGCAGTCTGCATTGGGGGGGCGGGGGCGAGGGGGCTGTAACAGGCTGAGGCAACAGTCTCAGTTTTTCAGGGGGCCCAGGTTGCCGTCCCTCGCTCCGGGTCTGCTTTGCGAACTCCTCTTTCGAAGGTTCTCGCTAACCTCTTCCTAATCCAGGTCACCCAATGGGTAGAATTCCCTCCTTCCTTGTCCGTCCACTTTTCCTTGGCATGTGAAACCTCCAGATCTGTGTTTGTTGGGAAACATCTCTCAGGCTTGGGGGTATACCTTGGTGCAGGGCAACACCCTAGTGGGGGACACCTATTCACTATGTGCCTGAACTGGGAGCTGGGAGGACAAGGACTAAAAGAACCATTTCTCTTTCCCTTCGTATCCCTCTGCATCGTCACGGGATGGTGGTGGCTTGTGTGGATTCTCTCAGGGTGCCTTTAGAGAAGGACAACTCAGAAGAGTTTCGCCAGCGGGAACTCCGAGCCGCCCAGCTAGCCCGAGAGATTGAATCGAGCCCCCAGTACCGCCTGCGGATCGCCATGGAGAACGATGATGGGCGCACTGAGGAGGAGAAGCACAGTGCGGTCCAGCGGCAGAGCCCGGGCCGGGAGAGCCCCAGCCTGGCATCTAGGTAACGCTGGGCACAGCCAGCAACTGCTCACAGCCGTATGGGAGCATGTCCCCATTATGTTTGTGCTCACGTCGTGTGATGAGTCTAGTGTTAGAAGCTGAGAGGAGCTCATCTGTTCAGCGACAGCTGTGGTTTGGGGGTGGGGTTGTCCCTCGGGATTCTGGCAGAGGTAGTTTCTCTTTTTTCCTTTGCGCCCATGAGTAGTCCTTTTTTGTCACCTTACAAAATGAACTCAAAGTTCGGTAATGCTCTCGTTCTCGTGGAAAGCTGCGTCCTGGACTACTCTGGCATTGTCTTTGTCATAGGTAGAATAATGGGACACTGGCCAGACAGGATGGCTAGAGGCCGTGACCCTTAGGAGAAGCGGGATAGTGAACACTGTGTGGTGGGGTAGGCCTCATAAGAACTCTGGGAATGGCTTTGCGGGTTGCCTGGCTGGCCTTCATTGAATGCTCTCCCCAGGGAAGGCAAATACATCCCTCTGCCCCAGCGAGTCCGGGAAGGTCCCCGGGGAGGTGTTCGATGTAGCAGTTCCCGGGGTGGCCGGCCTGGCCTTAGCTCTTTGCCACCTCGTGGTCCTCACCATCTTGACAACAGCAGCCCTGGGCCAGGCTCTGAGGCGAGGGGAATCAATGGAGGTGAGTTGTGGAGCAGGCTTGTTGGAGGCTGAAGGGGAGGGACTGGGAGATGGGCAGGGGAGGTAGAATTGAAAAGTTAGGTTAGCCGCAATGGTGGTGATATGCTTATCGTTTCTTTTATCCTAACTTTTTTTGGGGGGGAAAAAACAGGCCCTTCCCGAATGTCCCCAAAGGCACAGCGGCCTCTGAGAGGGGCCAAGACTCTGTCTTCACCCAGCAGTCGGCCTCCTGGAGAAGCTTCTGTTCCACCTCCTCCTGCAGGTAAAGCGTCACTGAAGTTGGGTTAAAGCTAGGTGGGTAAACATTTGTAGAGGATGCGAAGATGCCAGTTGGTGAATGCTGGGCAGGAGGGAGACATTACTGGTGATGATGTGCTGGGGTGGTGGGGGTTGGGTAAGACTTTTTCTCTAGTGTAGGAATCCCAACTGGGGGTCATGTTTGTCTGTCTGGCAGCTGTCTTTTGTTTTAAGTTGGCTTAAATGCCAACAGTTTAAAATCAGAATGCTTTTTTGAGATGTCAAGGCTCTTGCCAACACTGAGCCTGCCTTGCTGCATCGCTCCTGTTGACTGGGATGGAGACATAACTGCTCCATTAAGCTGACAGGGTGCCCAGAAGGCTGTTTCCGCCGTGTGTGTTACCTGCCTTGCCATTCCATATTTGTACGCAGACCTCCTCTTTTCACTTGTGGTGGTAGCAACTTACCGTATGTACTCAAGTATAAGCCGTCCCGAATATCAGCCGAGGCACCTAATTTTACAACAAAAACTGCATTAAAGATGTTCTGAAAAACTTGGTTTATACACGAGTACATAACAGAAGTTAGCACCCTGTACCCATTGCTTATCCGGTGGTTACGAACAGTAACCATTGTATAGCTCTCCCTTTTCTTCCAGTGGGCCGGATGTACCCCCCTCGCTCTCCCAAATCTGCCACCCCTGCTCCAGTCTCAGCTTCCTGTCCTGAGCCTCCCATTGGCTCGGCAGTGCCAACTTCTTCAGCTCCCGCCCCCGTGACATCATCGGTGGTGGATCCTGGAGTGGGCTCCATTTCCCCAGCTTCTCCAAAGATCACTCTGGCCCCAGCAGATGGTAAGGACTAGGTGGCTGGGGCTTGTGGGCAGTAGGAAGTGTTGTTCTGGATAGAAGAACCTTCAGGTCTGTCTGTCTGTCTGTCTCTCCCGGCTCAGTGAAAGAACTCCCGACCAAGGAACCTGGGAGAAATCTTGAGCCCCAGGAGCTGGCCCGGATAGCTGGGAAAGGTAAGCTGTTTTGTTTTTGTTTTGTCTCCCACCCACTCACCCAGCTCTAATGCCAGAGGTAAGGGAGGGGCCGTTTATTTGTTTCAGTTAGTGAAGTTATTTAAATTGAGAAGCAGACACTCCCGGCCCCTTTGATCCTTGTTTGCTGGGTGGGTTTTTGTTTCAATTCCACAGAGTCCTCTTCTCCTGATTGCTTGGTGCTCTGGGCTGTAGCAGTGTGCAGTCAGCCATCTCTGAGGAGGAGATGGCTAATTTCCCTTTTCCCATTTTCTTGTAGTCCCTGGCCTGCAGAATGAACAAAAACGATTCCAACTGGAAGAACTGAGGAAGTTTGGGGCCCAGTTTAAGGTGAGAGCTGGAAGTTTGGGGTGTGGAGAGCTTATGTGCACAGGGGAGGACTCACTAGTTATTCCAACGAGATGAGGCTCGAGTAAGGAGCAAGGCAGCAGGAGCTGATGTCTGGACCAGAAACAGGTACTGGATGTGTTCTTCTCATTCCAGCTGCAGTCCAGTAGCTCCCCTGAGACAAGTCTGGATCCCTTTCCTTCCCGGATCATAAAAGAAGAGGCCAAGGGGAAGGAGAAGGAGATGGATGGCCTCTTGGCTTCAGAACCCATGGGGTCCCCAGTCCCCTCCAAGATAGACTCAGTGTCAGATAAAGAGGAGAAACCACCCCTGCCCCCTGCAGGAGGCCCCGAGGGACCGGAGCATCCCCTACCATCTTGTTCGAGCCAGACAGGCAGCCCCCCAGTGGGCCTCATCAAGGGTGACGACAAGGACGAGGGCCCTGTTGCTGAGTGAGTGTTGGAGAGTGGGTGGGTGCCCCGAGGGAAGAAGGCTAGGCCATGAGGCATTTACTCTCTGCTCTCTTGCAGACAAGTAAAGAAGTCGACACTGAACCCTAATGCCAAGGAGTTCAACCCAGCAAAACCTCTGCTCTCTGTGGTGAGACAGGGCGAGGCTTTGGTTTCTACGAGGGCGACTTGGGCGCGGGCTAGGGTTACTCACCAGCCAGTAAGAGGAGGCAGTGGGAAAACAGGGTGGCATAGCAGTAGTTGGGGGGAAGTAGAGACTTCTCCATCTCTGGGGTAGCCAGAGGTCTTGGTGTGCCTGCCCGGTAATGGCAGCTTTCTCTGGGCTAACAGTTTGGTTCAGGAAGTAGTTCAGTGTGAAACTGTTCTGAGTGCAGGCATCATTCGGGCAGATGCACTGGGCTTGAGTCCCAGCATTTATAGACTCGATGGTCCTCTGGCTCCTGCCCTTGCCCAAAAGGAGCTCTAAAAAGTCAAAACCACATTCCTCTTTGTTTCTCACAGAATAAATCCACCAGTACCCCAACCTCCCCGGGCCCCCGAACCCATTCAACTCCTTCCATCCCGGTGCTGACCACAGGCCAGAGTGGCTTATATAGCCCCCAGTACATCTCCTACATACCTCAGATCCACATGGGGCCAGCCGTGCAGGTGAGAGGCTGGTTGGGCCCAGGGTAGGGGGTTGGGGCTGAGAGGGACTGGTTAGGGACCGCCTCAGGCTTATGGGCAGGCCGCTTGGCCTCATGGTACCCCTTCTCTCCAGGCACCTCAGATGTATCCATATCCTGTGTCCAACTCTGTGCCTGGGCAGCAGGGCAAGTACCGGGGCGCCAAAGGTGAGCGGGTCCGGGGGGGCGCAGGGGGGGGAGGCTGCCCATGCCTCCTGGCAGATGAAGCTGAAGCTCTGTGATATTTTCTATCCCCCAACCCTCAGGCTCCCTGCCCCCCCAGCGCTCGGACCAGCATCAGCCCGCCTCAGCCCCGCCGATGATGCAGGCCGCAGCTGCTGCCGGCCCACCTCTGGTGGCCGCCACACCCTACTCTTCCTATATCCCCTACAACCCACAGCAGTTCCCAGGCCAGCCGGCCATGATGCAACCCATGGCTCATTACCCCTCCCAGGTAACGGCCTTGGAGGGCAGTGTGTGTGTGTGGGGGGGGCCCGAGGGCCCCGACGGCCCCGACATGACACACACACAAAGGCAGTGTTGTGCATGGTGTCGGCCAGCTGGGCCACTGCTGGCACCCCTAACAGTCCTTAAATATCTGAGCTTTAGTTCCCTCCTCCTCAAGATGCAGCAACAATAGTATCCAGTTGGCAGAGCTAGGTGACTGGTCACAGCGGCTGTACCGCAGCCCAGGCCGTGCCGTGCACAGGGTGACCAGGCAGGACAACTCCACAGGCTCCTGATGTGCCAACTGGTGTCCTCTTGTCCGTCTCACAGCCAGTGTTTGCCCCCATGCTTCAAAGCAGCCCACGCATGCTGACGTCTGGGAGCCATGCCCAGGCCATCGTGTCGTCGTCCACCCCACAGTACCCTTCTGCGGAGCAGCCCACCCCCCAAGCCCTTTACGGTGAGCTCACGGGCCATCCCTTACCGCTGGGTGGGCCTCAGCCCACTGGTGCGCCGGGCCCTGACTCCTCGTTTGCTGCAGCCACTGTCCACCAGTCCTACCCACACCATGCCACGCAGCTCCACGCCCACCAGCCACAGCCGGCCACCACGCCTACCGGGAGCCAACCACAGTCCCAGCACGCGGCCCCGAGTCCCGTCCAGGTGCTTGCTCTGAGGGGGCGGGGGGGGGGGGGGCGGGCTGGAAGCTAGAGGGTTGAGGGTCAGTGGGTCGCCAGCCTGGGTTCTTGAGGATTGGCTGGTGCTCACCCTTCTCTCCTCGTGGCAGCACCAGGCGGGACAGGCTCCACACCTGGGCAGTGGACAGCCACAGCAGAATCTGTACCACCCAGGCGCCCTAACAGGCACGCCTCCTTCTCTGCCACCGGGACCTTCCGCCCAGTCCCCTCAGAGCAGCTTCCCCCAGCCAGCCGCTGTGTATGCCATCCATGCCCACCAGCAGCTGCCCCACGGCTTCACCAACATGGCCCATGTCACCCAGGTAAGAGCCACCGGAGAGATGAGGGTTGTCTACAGGTTTGCGGGGGAATTCCAGGTCCTTCCTTCCCCCACAAACTCTGCACAGATGGATCTTGCTTCATGGGAGCAGGGGGTTGTCCGTTGTGCCCACCCCTGCCTCCCCACACCCCTGCCTCCCCACACCAGGTTTCTGAGCTTCCGATATTTTCCAGTTCCTTTCTCTTTGCAGGCCCATGTCCAAACTGGAATCACAGCAGCTCCGCCCCCTCACCCTGGGGCTCCCCACCCACCCCAGGTGATGCTGCTGCACCCACCCCAGAGTCATGGGGGGCCCCCCCAAGGCGCGGTGCCCCAGAGTGGGGTGCCTACACTCTCAGCTTCCACACCCTCACCCTACCCCTACATCGGACACCCCCAAGGTGAGCAGCCTGGCCAGGCGCCTGGATTTCCAGGAGGAGCCGATGACAGGATTCGTGAGTTCTCGTTAGCTGGGGGCATTTGGCATGGAAGAGCTGAGGGGCTGCAGGTGGGGCAGGATGCACGGGTTCTGGGCGGGGAGTGAGGGGTCTTGGAGGCAGGGCGCCCGCCGACCTGCACCTGTCTGTGAAGCATGTAGGGTGGGCAGAAGCCACAGCCGCCGCCGCCAGGGGCTTGCTCCTGGCTCTGTCCTTTGCTTCCCTCCGTCCTCGCTCAGTTGTGATCCAGCAGCCCCCCTCCCCACTGCCTCCCCAGCTCTCAGTGACCCCGACTGCCTCCTGACTTAGCCGAGGTAAGGTCAGCGCAGCAGACAGGGCCAGGCTGGGGTGGGGGGGGCTGAGCTGGGCACACAAGGAAGGGCTCTGGCTCACTGGGAACCAGCGATTGATCTGTGCTTCTGACAGCCCCCCCTGAGATGCCCTGAGGAGGCCGCTCCTCCCCACCCTGTCCCACCCCTACCCCCACCCCTCCCTGGACGGCATTGGATGGAGGGATGCTGCCAGGTTCTAATGCTCCTGCTCTCTTCTCTTCTCCCCTCCAACCAGTTCAATCTCATCCCTCCCAGCAGCTCCCCTTCCACCCCCCGGGGAACTGAAGATTGTCCTGGCAGCGACCTGAGACCTCCATGAGGAGGGAAGAGTGATCTATGTCTCTTCCCCCAGCAGCTCGGACCAGTCCCAGCCCCTGACCCCCTCCCCCTCTCCCCGCAGGGAAGCTGGGGAACGCCTGGCAAGCACCTTGAATGGGAGGGGCCTCAAAGTGGGCAGGGGCAGGGTCCAGTTGGGTGGGTGGGGTTCCTGCTCTGGCTTTGCCTGTTCCCACCCCATCTTGCCCTTCCATCCTCTCATCGCGCCCCTGCTGGAGACAGAAGATCTTTTATTTTCTATTATTTATAACCTCAAGACTTGGGCCCCCTGTTCTTCCCCCATTATCGAGTGACCTGCGTGAAAGACAGACAGATGCCCCACAGGATGGTTGGACAAGGACTTTTACTTTTTATTACATAAAAATATTTAAAAAAATAATAAAAAAATAAAATTTTAAACTAACTTAACCTGCCTGTCATCTTCTCTGTGGAGAGCAGGGCAGCACCACAGCCCTCAGTCCACCAAGGGGATGACCTAGAGGCTGGGGGCCAGGGTTCTGGAAGGCCAGGCAGAGCGGAGTGAGGCTCTCTATGGTATTGGCAATGCTTTGAGTGCTGGTCTTGACCCTCTCCTTCCATGTGGAAATGGCATCTGGATCCCAGATGGTCGTCACTGTAGGTGGTGTGAGGTTCTGGATGACCAGATCGCTCAGAGTGCATGGAATGTGTCTACCAAGGTGGGCCTGTCTTTAAGTCCCTCATGAGTTCTGCCTCTTCGTGAAGTGCCTCTGCTTTTAGCTGACTGACCTGCACTGGGTCTTGGGTATAGGTGAGCCCTCGAGATGGAGTTGTTAGTGAGGGAGACAGGAGAGAAGCCGGAGGTGGGGTGGGGGCCAGCACCACGTCGTTAAGGAGGCATTGGGATTGTGTTGCTGCTTTTACAAAATGTAGTCTTGCCCTTAGGGTTGTGAGGGGTAAGTTTTGGAAAGATGTGAGCTGTGCATTGGGCTGTTAATCTCAAAGTCTGGTTCAAAACCCGCTGCTCTGCAGATGAGGCTTTCTGCTCCCATTACAGATGGGACGACCTTGGAAAGCCAGCCACCAGGGCAAGGTCACTGGGCATTGGACTTGATGCCGGCAGTGAAGGTGTTTTTTTTTTTTTTGGGGGGGGTGTTGTATTTCATTTGAGAACAAAGTTGGAGAAAGCGGCTGAGACCAGGGCAGAAAGGTTCAAGATCGAAGACCTTGTTTCGGGGTGTGAGTGTTGGAGACTTGACAAGTGGGGGGAGTAGAAGGGGACAGAAGGGTCTCAACAAAATGAGAAGTGAAGACAGCGATGTGGCTCCTAAAACCTGGCAGGATTAGTCGGGGTTCCTAGGTGGAAGATTTTGGCGGGGGGCTTAGGGTGTCTGAAGTGCAGACTGAGATCAGGAGAGAACATTGGCCAGTGTTCCCGAGTTCTCCAGACCCCTAAGAATTGCATTTAGGTAACATTCCGAAGTCGGAGTCACCGTGGGGGGGTGTGTGTGTTGTGTACCTTGTCCTATCCTTGATGAGACCCACTTTCCCCTGGACACCCGTGAAAGCAAACTCACCCTGCTGAGAACAAGCCTTTGTGCAAAGTTCTTACATGTTCATGTCAAATTCTTTCCCTGCAGTTGCAAATCAAATGACCTCAAACTGGCTCCACGCCACCCGCCTCTGGTCTGTGGATGATTCTGGGCATGGCCAACAACACTTGAAAAGGGTACTCATGCATCGGCTATTTGGAATCTGTCCTGGTCATTTCGCATGCTTTGTCTGCCAGCACCTCACTCCCTGCACATTTGATGGAACAGCCGCTTCCTTTTAAATCCCAGTAAATGTTGAAATGTTGCACCGGAGTCAGGGCGCAGCAGTGAGTGACCATCGGGTAACCAGCCGTAGGCACCACTGGAACTGGCCGCAGTGATGAGAGCTGATGTTCTGGGAGAGTCATTCCCCAGCCGGAGAATTGTAGGGGGCAGCTTGAAATTAACTGGCGAACAACTGGAGGAGGAAATGGGTTTGGCAACTGAGCTGACCTAACCCAAACTGGCTCAGGTTCGTTCCCGAGCTTCCATCCTTATCCTGGAATGTGTTACTAGATGATCCCGTTTGCTGGGCTAACTTTCTCTTCTGGCTTTTCTCCATGAGTAAACACTGCACCCACCGCTGCCAAGATGACCCTGGTTCAAGGCGACCTACACACTAACTGTCGGGGGCTTCCAGGGCTAATCTTTCCGGAAGCTGCCACATCTCCCTGAGAAGTAACTCATGGATTCAATCCGCCAACCAAAAGTTGAGCATTGACATTGTGAGCGCTAGCCTCTCCCACCCACATACTCGATCACAATGACAGCATCCCTGGCTCCTTGGAATTCTCGTTTACAGGAAGGACACAACGCACAGGCTAGGCTTCTATTCACAGAACAGTTTATTGGCCTGCTCGTACTGGGTGGCCATTCCTTGGGAACAGGGGAAGTCAGTCAAGCTCTTCTCCTGGGTTGCCAAGGGCTGGCTGCAGGGGCAGAAGGGGACACTGGCCAGGGCAACGCTGAAGCAGATCTCTGAGCAGAGGGCCATAGACTCAACTCCACTTGATGTTCTTGTCCTCCTCCGTTAAGGCCTGGGTGTCAGTGACCAGGCCAGTGCCAATGGTCCGGTTCCCGTCTCGCAGGGTGAACCGCTGACCCTTTTCTAGGATCATTGGCTGCCTCAGAATCAGGGTGAGCTTCAAGTCCTCCCCTGGCATGGCAAGCTCCTGGAAGGAGACAAAAAGGGATTCTGTCGCATGTGTGACCTTGTGCACCTCACCTGCTGGCTACTGAGAAAACACTCCTAGAAGGACCTCTCCGGGCGCCGATTGTATCTAGGGACCATTTGGGCCCAGCTATCAGGCAGATTCAGCAACATGCAAAGGCCAGAGAGGGAGAATGGGACAGGTGGGCACGGGGCCCTGCAGGTTTTCTCCGAGCCTTCCTCTACTGCTCTGAAAGGTGGAAAAACCAGCCTACCCTGGGAGAGGGCAGCCTGCTTGGTCATGAACATAGAGGGGCAGTGGAAAGGAGGAAGACCCTCGACCAGGTGGGCCAACAGTGTGAATATGGCCCAGCCCAGGTGGTGCTTCCTTCTGTTGTGCACTATGGGTTGGAACCGACCGACTAGATGGCACCCAACACCCTATGAAATCATTTGGAAGAGAATTGCTTTTAACCCATTTCTGATGTACTAAGACTCTTGTCCACCAGAGGAGAACCTCCCACCTACTAGTTTCACCTACATCACCAGCTAGTCCCTGGCTGACCCAAGGAAATCGTCACACACCGTTGTCACGTGAGACCTGGGGAATGCTCATTATGACTCCTTCATGCTTCCCTGTACCCACGTACCTTCCCGGGGGGCAAGAGGATACGGCAGGCCATGTCCCAAGTCAGGGAGAACATGACAGGCATGAAGTGGGACACGAAAGGCTTGTGACGACCCCCTTCTTCCTTGCTGAGAATGTAAACCTGGAAGGGGTGGGGGGGGACCACAAGGAGAGCTGGAGACACTGTTGCTACAAAGGAGTCAGCCTTGGCCCTGCCCACCATCACCCGGAGCCCTCACCTGGGCCTCCACCTTCTGGTGGGGCTGGACGGAACCTGGCTTGGCCATGACCAGGCCCCGCCTCAGGTCCTCGCGTTTCAAGCCTCGGACCAGAGCCCCAAGGTTGTCACCCGCCTCTGCCCTGTCCAGGCTCTTATGGAACATCTCAATGCCTTGTGGGGAGGGGAGAGAAGGGAGGCTCAGAAAGGTGAAAGGTCACCCTGGATGAAGTCCCTGGGGCCCAAGGCTTCCTGTACCTGTCACCACAGTGCGGATGTTCTTGCTGTGTCCCAGGAACTCACACTCATCGCCCTTCTTCAAGATGCCCTGCTCCAGTGTACCTGTCACCACCGTGCCCCGGCCTGGGAAGGAGCAGAGGACATGAGCAGCCCTGGGCTGGGCTGGGCTACCATGGGGAGCAGGGGGTGCCAACAAGCACGGTCCGCTCCTCACCCGGGATAGAGTAAATGGATTCGACGGGCAACAGGAAAGGCTTCTCCAGGTCCCGAGTGGGCACCGGGATGTGGGTGTCCACAGCGTCCAGCAGCTTCTGCACTGACTTCAGGCCCAGCTCGGGGTCCCGTTGCTGTGGGGGAAGACAGGACTCTGAAAATTCCCATTCTGTTCTGTTTACTTATCAAGCGCCAGCCCTTCCGTGGCCTCAGAGCAGAGCTCTGCATGCCCATCTGCCTCCCCCTCCCCTCACCTCGAGGGCACAGAGGGCAGAGCCTATGATCACTGGGATCTCCTCTCCTTTGTAGCCAAACTCCGTGAGCAGTTCCCGGATTTCCAGCTCCACCAGCTCCACCATCTCGGAGTCTTGCACCGCGTCCGCCTTGTTCACGTACACGACGATGTGCTCCACCCCAATCTGGCCGTGAGGACATACCGAGGGATGGTATCCGGAGTGGCCTGACGCCCCCCTCTCCCTTTCCACCCCTCCCAGGCTCGGAATACCTGTTTGGCCAGGAGTAAGTGCTCTCGGGTCTGGGGCATGGGGCCGTCATTGGCTGCCACCACCAGGATGCAGCCATCCAGGGGAGCAGCACCCGTGATCATATTCTGGGTTGGGGAAGGAGAGGGCACACTCAGCCTAGTTCAAGGGCCCCCTCGGTTCTTTATCTACCTGGCCCTCAGCACAGTGAGTGAGAACCTAGACTCCCATCTGCCTTCCCTGGCACCGCCCACTGAAGTGGTCCAGGGCACAAAATGCATCAGCTCAAATTCCTACATTCAGTTAATCTCCAGCACCTTAACACACACACACCCACATCTACCCCACACCCCCGCACACCCAGCATTTGTCCCGGCAAAAGGCAGCCCCTGGTCCTCTCCCAGAAGGTCCTGAGAGCCTCACCTTCACATAATCGGCATGGCCTGGGCAGTCTGTGTGGGCGTAGTGGCGGGAGGCGGTGCTGTACTCCACATGCGCCGCATTGATCGTGATGCCCCGGGCTCGCTCTTCCGGGGCATTGTCGATCTCTTCATATTTCTTAAACTGGGCTCCGCCGCCCTCCGCTAAAACTGGAGGGCAAAGAACACACCCCTAGGCTAAAGTTCCGTGTAACTTTGGCCACACCCCTGCGCCTCTCCCACCTAAACACAGCCGGGAGGCTAAAAACTCCAGAGCGCCTGCCCCTCTAACAGCTAACCTCTCGCAGCGCTAACTTTGGGTCGGGAAGAGTCAGGGACCTCGAAGGCCACTCAGGGTCCTCCCAATCCACGCATCATAGGTAGTTGATGTTTTGGGCAAATCGACATCTTCCTCCTGCCCAGGTTCTGGTCCCCAAGGCCACACCCATCCAGCAGCCAGTCAGCGCCCCACATCCCGAGCTCCAGGACCTGCCCCCACCCCATGCCCGCTTACTCTTGGTGATGGCCGCTGTCAGCGTGGTTTTGCCGTGATCCACATGGCCGATGGTACCCACGTTCACGTGGGGCTTGTCGCGTACATAGGTCTTCTTCGCCTCCACGGCCAAACCGCGGCACCAGGGCGGCAGCGTCCGGGCCTTGGGCGGCCGCAGCAGACCCTGCAGTCGTGGGGTCGGCTTGGCGCCGAGACCTGCAGGGACAGACGCTTGGGGTCAGGGTGCGGGCCGGAACCCGGCCACCCAGGCGCACTCTGCGTGTCCGCACGCCACCGCCCTCCGCGCCCCTCACCGCAGAAGCGGGGCGTCGCGCGCAGCAGGGTCGCGGCCGCCATTACGGTGGTGCAGGCGCCCCGGGGACCGCGGACCGGCAGCCTGCGCGTGCAGCAGGGGAAGGGCACGTCGGGCTGGAAGCCACTTCCGCCGGAAGTGAGGACCAAGAGGGCAACCCTGGGCGCCTCTAGCCACCGGTTTCCATGGCCGTTTCGGCCGACTTCCGGGCGCGAGGCGGAGGACTGGGGAGAAAGTGCTGGTGGCCCGGGCCGGCCGGCACTTTCCCCCACTGGCGCCCTGGCCCCGCGGGCAGCGGAACTGCACCCGGATCTAAGGTGGCGCCGCGGGGAGATCGTCCCAGGATGCCCCGGCGCCCCGGGGGCTCCCGGGCGCCTGCTTGGGCCGGGGGCCTCGGGTGGGTCTGCGCCGGGCCCAGAGGGCCCAGGCCTGGAGAGAGCAACGCCCGGGCTCACGGCAGAGGGCCCGCCCGCACTCCCTGGATTCCCACCCAGCGCGCCCCTCTGGAGGCGGGATCTGGCCCTGGGCGCCCTTCGGGGCGGCCCACGCGTGAGCGTCGCCCGCTGGGTCTTCCTTAGCTGTGCGATGGGAATAATCGAGGCCACGTGGTCGAGAGAGCCTAACGACCGGGCCTGAGAGGAAACCAACTGGGGAGCCCTTAGGACTTGGGGACGTAGAGTCCGGGCTCCTGAAATACCTTCCCCCAAGGCCCGGCTTTCTTCCCTGTTGCCTAGTGGTTCGGGTGAGGTGCTGGGCTGCACATCCCACGGTCCGCGGTGCAAACCCGGCAGCCTCCGCCCGAGAAGGTGAGGGCACTCTGCCCCGGTGAGGATTGACAGCCTCGGAAACGCGCAGGGGTGGCTCTCACCCGCCCTAGAAGGTCGCTACGGGTCAGAATTGACTCGATGCCCGAGACAACTATCCGGACCTGAAGAGGGAATGATCTCGGGGCCGGAGTTGAGCTGCGGTTCTGGGGCTTCTGAAGGTTCAACCGCCCCGGCTCCTCGAATACCTGCCCCCCAAGACAAGGCGTTGCTAGTGATCCCCATAGCCTCCTCCCGCTCCGCCCTTGTTTTACAGATTAAGACTCAGGATGAAGAACACCCTGGATGTGTCCCTAGCACCCATCCCAGGGCGGGGGAAGTAATGAATGGTTGGTTCATAAAGGTCTGGGGGCCCGATGGGCAAATGTAAGAACAGTGAAAAGCCTTTCACGACATCATCTTGAAATTGTAACAGCTGCCTCACCCGGATGAACCGCTCCAAACTCAGCAGGTGTGTGATTCAATAGTCGGGGCTGGTTTCGAACAGCCCACTGCCGGCTCCCTTGAAAGGAGCACCTGTTGGCAGAGGTTATGTGGGGCTGCAACCCGCACCGATGGGGAAGGATGAGGCTTTCTGTGCCCTTCAAGAGTTTTCTGTTTTGGAAACCCACCTGGGCAGTTCTACTCAGAACCTGAGGTTTTTTTGAGAGCTCCCGTGGAGTGCAGGATTCCACGGAGCGGGGCACAGCTCCTCCTCAAGGTGAGTTTGGAAAAGAAGTCTGAAGCATTACACAAAGGGCACCTTATTGTTCCCAGTGTTTTACCATTTTACAGGTGAAAAAACAGGATCGGGGAGATTCAGATTAGACCCCTAAAGCCTCAAAAACTGAAAGCCTATCCACTTAAAAAGTCCAACACTGAGCTATTAATTTAATGATCATGCTGTTCACATAAAGCGAGGAACTTGCTAAGACTTCTTCTGGCCCTCAAGCCCATAGGCTCAAACAACAAACCTCACTGCCATTGAGTTGATTCTGATGCATGTTGTCAGGTTCCGACCCACAGCGACCCCTGGTGCACTCCGGGGGTCGGAACACTGCCCGGCTCTGCGCCATCTTCACAGTTGCTCCCGTGCGTGAGCCCATTGTTGGGGCCACGGTGTCAGTCCATCTTGTGGAGGACGTTCCTCTTTTTCGCTGCCCGTTTAACCAATTCCAACTCAGGACTCAGGGGCCCTAGAAGGACGGCGCAGAAATGCCCTGTGGGTTTCGGAACCGGGTGCTGGCAGGCCAACAGCCACGGTGCCACCGGGGCTCTGTCCTGCTTAGGAAGGGGTGTAAATAGCGCACTTTCATTGTTCTTTCCCCGTCCTTCAGGCACTCATTGCTAAGAGTTTATCCTCATATACTATTGGCCACTTGTAGGAGGTAATTTGGGGGGATGGCATGACGACGTTAGTGGTGCTATCTTTATAATTTGATTCTTTGTTTACCAACCGTAACGAGGTCTAATTGACACACACTAAATTATACATAATGGTCAATTCGATAAGTTTGGGCCTGTCTTTCTGAACCACAATCAAGATCCTGACCCTCTCTCTCACTCCCCCTCAAACATTTCCTTGTGACGCTCCATACTACCTCTCTCCCGCCTCTTAACCCCTTGTTCCCCCTCCCCCTCCCTGGCTAGGCAAGCATCAGTGCTTCCTGTCATTATCCAGGTCTGCCACTTCTGATTTTAAAGATAACACTGTGTTCTGAAGACAAAATGGGTGCATAAGCAAACAAACGTGAAGAAAGCTGATGGTGCCCGGCAATCAAAAGATCCAGCATCTGCTTGTAGTGAAACACGCAGCCATCTAGCCGGGAAGCAATAAGCTCACAAGGAAGAAGCACACCAGCCTGTGTAATCATGAGGTGTCAACAGGGAAAGGTATCAGAAGTTCAAAAAACATGCATCCAAATTGATATGAAGGGGAGTGGATGTAGTGGAGACCCAGAGTCCACCAGCAAGACAACTGGACAGTCCCTCTTAGAAGGGCCTCACGGAACAGGATAAATCCAGGGTGCAGCGTGGCACTGATGAACCACAAAACTCTCCTCTAGTTCTTTAAGATTTCCTTCCCTTACTGTGATGGCCCATACATGGTATACCTCGTTAATCATGTTAGATTTGCAAATGTTCATTCAAGATCACTTGGTATATGGTAGTCAAGAGAGATGACCCCTCAGAGACAGTGACAGGAGTAAAGATTCCCCGAGGGTACAGGAAGTTGTGTGTGTGTGTGGGGGGGGGGGCATGAAGAGGAGAGGAGTGCAAGACAATCATGGCACCCAATTCGGCTGAGAACTGCCACCCATTTGTTTCGTCTAGCCACAAGCCACTGTCTACCCAAGGAGGCCCGCACCATCCCAGCCCCTCTTACTATCAGAGTGCCTCACTCTGCTGCACAGCGTGTGAACCAGCCTCCTCCCGGTCGCCCGAGCCAGAGTGGTCCTCGCTACATGCTGAGGGGACGTGGCACCCCCGGGGGTCCTCTTCCCTGTCTAACTGTGGGCACATCAGGCTCTCTAACCCCTGGGATGGCGATGCACAGGACAGTTGAGAGCCCAGGCCCCCAAGTCAGAGAGGCTGGTTAGACTCCTGGCTCTGCTGTACCCCAGCTCTGTAACTTGGCCAAAGCACGTGGTAGAACCTCAGTGATCGCAGCTGTAAAATGGATCCAGCGGAGCTGGGAAAGCATCGTGGGATTACTGTGAGGCTTGAAGGAGAGGCGGCAGGACGGTTCGACCTTCAGCCCTGACCTGTAGAAAGAGCGTGGGAAACAGATTGCTGTCACTGCTTCGGCACTGCGGCGATGCTTGCGTTCCTCCAAATGCCCACGCTCCTCCTTTATCCG